TGTGTGTGTGTGTGTGTGTGTGTGTGTGTGTGTGTGTGTGTGTGTGTGTGAGAGAGAGAGAGAGAGAGAGAGAGAGAGATAGAGAGAGAGAGAGACATACAAAGACAGACAGACGGAGAGAGAGACAGATAGATAGATAGACGGACAGGAAGATAGGTAGGTAGATAGATTTATCATAGGGAGACGCAATGAGCACGCTTACAGGCTAAAAAGGCAAAGACTTGGAAAGAGCAGAAGATCATACACACGGAGATCAGATGCAGATGCAATAGATCAGAGAAGGTCAAGATCCAGAGGGAGAAAGCCATGGAAAAGCAGGATAGGATTACGTGCTGAAAATTGGCACAGACTGTTATAGTAAAACAAATAGCAGTATCGGTGGTCCCACTAGCAACGGGGATAGGATTAAGATCCTGAATCTGGGCGTGTTTTAGGCAGAGATGCAGAAAAGGAGTTCAATCTCGATTTTCTGCACTTGTCCACAAACGCGGCCAGATTCAGGCGTTCAATGCAATCCTCTTTGCTAATGGGACCATGCTCCCGAAGGGGCCTGGCAAATTAGGAACGCAGGACCCTCAGGCGCTATAAACGGTACAAATTTTGGGCCAAATAAGTCGGCTTTTTTTCTTTTTTCTTTCTTTCTTCTTTTTTCTCAGAAAAATATATAACACCGGACTTGCCAGGAGGTCACCCATAGCAATACTTGATTTTCCCACCCAATGGTGCTTGATTACCAACTCCAAAGGGATAATTGGTGGATAGTGCCCACACCAGAACCTTTTTTTTTTTTTTTTTTTTTTTTTTTTTTTACACCAGAATCTTTTAATTCTTCTTCTTCTCTCTTTCTTTTTTTTTTTTTTTTAATTTGGACGATTTCTTGATTTATGCGTGTCATCCTTGCCCAGGGTCCCCTTCCCGGCGAGCCCACAGGTTGCTTGGCCTGCTTTTACCGGACTATGAATCTGGTGCTGATTTGGCGCAAGATTCATGAACGGTACGCTGCTTGTGCCTTGTTTTCCCGGTTCGCGGTATGACCTCTTCTCAATCACTACGAATCTGGCGCTATTTCTGCGCCAGGATTCATGATCCGTTAGGGGCCATCCGGGAGCGGAGTTACCCCGGCAGCGTCGGCCGGTTTAGCTTACAGCCTTTCGCCTGGGGATCATCCCTCTTTTTTTTTTTTTCTGGAAAACGAAAACTTGAAGTCTCTGGTCTTTTTTTTTGGGGGGGGGCGGTGGAGGGAACTGTGGCTGTGGCACACTTTTAGTTTGATATAGTAGGAAATGAGAGACAAAAGGGCACCCATGTAAACGAAGTGGAACCCATGTCATAGTGTGAGTTTCGCAAATGTACAATGTGGAGGTTTAGAGGGGGTCTAAAATTGCGCCAGTCATTACCCGTGCGGTGGCGTTTGGAATAGATTTAGGGGGGTGGCCTTATTTGCTGAGCCTCCATTTCGGGAGCCTCCATTTCGGGAACTGCAAAAAAAGTTGCCTATTCTGAACGTTGGGTGTGACTCCAACGTACTTGCCGCCTCCTTTTTTTGTTTTCAATTTGTCACCCTTTTTTTCTTTTCTTCCTGCAACGGCCTCCAGATATATAGCCGTTGAGCTGTTCATTCAAAGCAGGTAGATGAAAAAATCACCCGTCACACAAGATGACACAAAATTGTCTACCGCGTGGGCGCGGGGAACGCAGCCCTAAGGTAGCCAAATCAATGAGACTAAGAGCTAACACAAGAGAGAGAGAGAGTGAGTGAGAGAGAGAGAGAGAGAGAGTTTTGTTCCATTTATTGTTATGAGTGAGAGAGAGAGAAAGAAATAGAGGGGGGGCTACCAGAGAGAGAGAGAGGGAGGGGGGGGGACTAAGAGAGAGAGAGAGAGAGAGAGAGGCTGAATGGCAAAATTGAAATATGGGTCAAATTGCGGCCGCAATCTATTTCGCAGTTGGAATGATTTTTTTTAACTTATGTAGCGTTTTTCCTGGAAAGTACTCCAATTTTCAGGTTTTTTCACGCATTCTTCTGAGCGCGAAAACTCACTGAATTTGGAGTACTTTTTTAGTTGGCCCAGGCATGGCTGAGTGGCAAAAATGGAGAATGTGCTGAATTGGCGCGACGATTATTTCGCAGTCTAAATGATTTTTTGTAAATGTTCTATTATTATTTCTGGAAAGAACACGACCTCGTCTATGGATTCTCAAAATTTTAGATTTTTTGCATGTTCGTCTGAGCACAGAAAATCGCCAAAGTTGCCTCTTGCAAAACGCCTGTTTCGTTGTGTCTGAGCGCAGAAAATCGCCAAAGTTGCCTCTTGCAAAAGGCCTGTTTCGTTGTGCCTGACCTCCCTGGTTGAGAAGACGGGGCTCAACGCCTGGGCCTGAGGGCCCTTTTGCAGTTCACATGTCCTCATTCTTTTTGGGGTCCGCTTCTACCCGAGGACAGGTCCAATGCCCCCCACTTCTTTTTGTGGTCCACTTCCACCCGAGGACTGGTCCTTCTTTTTTCCAAAAGTCCCGGTTCTAGAAGAGCTAGCTGTAGGTAGTCCGCAATTTTGCCAAGGACCGGTCCCCAAAAAACATTTCTCCCCTAAGAACCCACTTTGCGTCCTGGTCGCCCGCCACCGAAAATGCGACACCTTGACACAGACGCGGAACCACACTATACCGCAGCCTAAGGGCTGCGAATTACGCATCATCACTGAGCTGAGCTGCCCATGGTCATTCAGAATAATTGAAGTATTTGCCTATGGTGATTCAGAATTATTGAAGTATTTCACTTATTCCTCTTCCATGGGAGTTAAACTCCTAGTCTGTTACCTGCCATTTCAGCAAAATAGACTTTTTTTTTTTTTTTTTTTTAACGAAATTGACAGGTCCTTTGTTTTTGGGGACAATTTCTCGATTTATGGGTGTCATCCTTGCGCAGGGGCCATGCTAATCTTCTCTGTTTTTCCAATTTTAACCAATGTCCCCAAGGACTGGGTCCAAATTTTTGGCTCCTGAGGGTCCAGCATTCTTAAAACGCTGGACCTCCTGGATGTATCTGCTCTTTAGGTAAGTCCTCATACATCCAGGGGGTCCAGTGTTTCAAGAACGCTGCACCCCCGGCCCCCCGGATGTATCTGGTCGCTAAGTCCACATACATCCAGGGGGTCCAGCGTTTCAAGAAGGCTGGACAGTGGACCCTGTCCAGGAGGTGGTCTTTTGGACCTGTTTTCCGCCAAAAAAACTCGGTTTCAATTTCGTTCTCAAAAATTAAAAAATGTCCATTTTGACCAAATGGCAGTTTGTACTTGAACAGTTCAGGGGTGTTATTAACTAATAACTGTGCTAGGCCAGTTGGTGTCACTTGGTGAGTCGCTGTGTTTGGCTTGAGGAGTGGTGGTCCACTGGTCGGGATCTGAGGGAGAGGATGACCACATGCAGGTGTCACTGTCAAACTGAGAAGAAACTATTAAACACCATGATGCCCCCCCCTTTAATATTGTAGTCTGCCAAATTACGTGATTGCCCTTATCTGAATGTGTCCTGATCTGACGGTGCCCTTGTCTGAGCGTTTGTTGGTTTCTTCACTTTTTTTTTTCTTTTTCTTTTTTCTTTTTTTGCAGGAAAGGTGAGTTGGAGGAGGGAGAGCAATGGCGGTCTGAGCGTTTGTTGGTTTCTCGACTTTTTTTTTTTTTTTTTTTTTGGCAGGAAAGGTGAGGGGGGGGAGGAGCGCGAGCAATGGCGTGATTGCCCTTATCTTATTGTCTCCCGATCTGACGGTACCCTTGTCTGAGCGTTTGTCGGTTTCTTGATTTTTTTTTTTTTTTTTGGGGGGGCAATTGCAAAAATAGCGCGTTCTTGAAGTTTGGCAGCAGAAATGTTATACGGGTCCGAAACATCTATATCTATTTTTGCAAGGAAAGTGGGGCCCCGCCAGCAAATATTTTTGCTGTGAAACTACCGGGACCTCTAAAGCTGCAACGAAAGATACATTTTTGCAACGAAACATGGGCCCCGCCAATATTTTTGCTGCGAAACTTCAACAGGCGCGCTATTTCTGCAATTAACCCTTTTTATTTTTTTTTTTGCATGAAAGGTGACGAGGAGGAGGAGGAGCGCGAGCAATGGCCGGGGGTATGGAGACAGCAAGGGTTCCGCCTGCTATTGGGATCGACCTGGGCACTTCCAACTGCGTTGTGGGGGTGTGGAGAAATGGTCAGGTGGAGATTATACCTAATTTGAATGGGGATAGGTTGACCCCTTCAGTTGTCGCATTTACGGGCAGCGTCGAAGAAAGGGGTCGTTATATAGGACAAGCCGCGAAGAATCAAGCAGCGACAAACTGCCAGAACACGGTTTTTGAGGTGAAGAGGCTGATCGGACGCAAGTTTGATGACCCTACCGTTCAGAAAGACAAACAGTTATGGCCGTTCCCGATCGTGGAAGGGCCACGTGGCGAGGCGAGGGTTCGAATCCGAACAGGAGAGTTGGATAAGGATTTCACGCCAGAAGAGATCTGTGCCATGTTGTTGGGCGAGTTGAAGCGGCAAGCGGAAGCCTATTTAGACTCAGAGGTCACGGAAGCTGTCATCACTGTACCGGCGTACTTCAACGATGCCCAGAGACAGGCGACAAAGGACGCAGGGGAGATCGCTGGGCTCAAGGTGCTGCGCATCGCTAATGAGCCAACGGCAGCTGCATTGGGATACACAGTTCATCGAGAGCGATTGATTGCCTTCGACAGAGAGAGGACGAAGACGGTGATGGTGTTCGATCTGGGCGGCGGGACGCTGGACGTCTCGGTCATGCAGATCGGACGTGGAAAGTCAACGGTGATAGCGTTGACCGGCGACAGCCACTTGGGCGGCGTTGACTTCGATATTCGGCTGCAGAAGCACGTGCTGCAGCCGGTGGCGGGAGCGGTAGGAGAGGTGGGGAGTCGGGGGGCGGTTTCGCAGAAGAGGCTGACCAGATTACGCGAGAGGTGTGTGGCTGCCAAACACACCCTCTCGACGCGGCCCTCTGCGGAAATTGAAGTGTCGCCGGACGCTGAGGTGACCATAAGCAGGGCACTTTTCGAGAACATCTGCAGCGATTTGCTCGACAGGTGTATGGCTTTGGTCACGGAAGCGATCGCGCTTTCGAAGCTGGGCAAAGAACAAATTGCGTCGGTGATCTTGGTCGGCGGGGCCACGAGAATGCCCAAGATTTCGGCCATGCTGACTGAGTTTTTTGGCGGGAAAACGCCCTTGTCATCCATTCATGCTGACGAGGCAGTTGCGTACGGTGCAGCGGTGCAGGCAGCAATGATTACAAAGAGATGTTTTGGTTTAGGCTCCGATCTTCAAGACCTGGTCTTGCAGGAAGTCACGCCGTTGACGCTAGGTGTGAAGACGTGGACACAAGGAGGACCTGAAGCGCAGAACATGTCCGTCCTGATTCCAAAGAACACTCCTGTCCCTGTAACAGGGGCAGAATTGCAAGTTACCACGGCTCAAGATAATCAGACCGCCATGGAGTTTTGCGTCTATGAGGGTGAAAGTCCTCATTGCAAAGATAACTATCTTCTTGGCACGTTCACGCTGGACAAATTCGAGCGAGCGCCGAAGGGGGAGGCAGAAGCTCTCCTCGTTTACTCCATCGATTCTGATGGCATTCTTCACGCGACTGCTACCAACACTGTGTCGGGACGATCGAGCTATGGCACCTTCACGACGGACAAGGGTAGATTGACACGTGGCGAGATCGAGGAGATGATTGCTCTCGAGGGCACGTTCGCGGCCGGCGACAGGGCTGCCCTTGAGAAGGAGGTGGCCAAGCACCGCCTGCAGCAGTATCTTACAGAAATGAAGGGAAAGATGGAGAGGGCGGGATACCGGCTGCTCCACAACGATCGGATCGGGATCAATCGGAAGGTGTCTGAGATCGAAGGGTGGCTATTGGGGTCGGGTAGTGGAGGGGGGTGGTGTTCGGCGAACGAGTTTGAAAAAAAAAAGGGTGAGCTTGAGGAGGCGTGCGAGGCTTTTGAAAGGCTGGATCTTCAGGATAGGTATCTTGTTAGATGCTGATGGGAAGAAGGGGTGGGGGTGGGGCTGGGGGGGGGGGAAGGGAAGTTTTTGCCATGCTCTCTGAAGTTGCTAGACTGCACTACCAGTAGTCCTCAGACTGTGTCCACGGCCGCTCAAAAGTGTACTAGAGTCTTCATACCCCCCCCCCCCCCCAAAAAAACCCTTGTTTAATATCAGACCCCTCTGCTGGTCCGTGCAATCCCTCTAGGCAATCAACTGAGTCCCTACTTCTGCTTGGCAGATTTATCCCACCTGCCACCTGGCACTCCCATTCCATCATCATAGCAATTCAGTCAAGGTTGTCAATGCAGTGCTCCTAATTTTTTTTTATTTTTTTATTTTTTTTTCCCCTTCCAATGCTAAAAGTCCGCACGTAGTATGCTGACCCAAAAGAAATGAAATCTTGGGGGTCTGCAACTCTATCGTTTTTTTTTTCCATTGAAAGCGCTACGCCCAGGTCATGGTTTAGGTTTCAAAAAACCCAAAAAAAACTTGAAAATGAAGTTTTGTCGCGGCGGCAGTTTGGAACAGCAGAAGTAGCACAAAATAGCGGTATAATAAAAGAAAAATATATATTTTTGCCGTTTTTTAGAACTCAGGCCCTCCGCAGGCACGGCCCGGCCCTAGAGTTATGACAGCCGGGCTTATTATAAAGTGTCGTGCGATTATTCTTGCAGTTTCTAAGAGTGCTCTCTCCGCCCATACCTGCCGTGCCCTGTTATTTCTGTGAATTCAAAACTCGAATTCGTTCATGGCGCAGTTGTCTCTTTTAAAGTCTTTTTCTTTGTTTTTATCAAACGACCGATTTGCTAAACTGGTCAGGTAAATGGATATACAAAGGAACAACTGATAGAAATGCCACTTTTTTTTTTTTTTTGCCCATTCGGAAATCTGTTGTGACATAAACGAACTTGCCCTTGTCTGTTCTCAGGATGTGTTTTATTCAGCTTTCTTTGCTTTGAATTTCTCTTCTATCCCTTTCTCCCATCCCATATCTTTTTTTTTTTTCCCTCGCATCCCATATCTTCCCTGTCTAGATTGCATTTTCGAAACTTCCGTTCAGACAGGCAGGCAAAGGTTTGCCCTGGTCTGACCTCTGCTCTGACAGATCCAGGTTCACTTTTTGGCCCAGCTTGGTCGTTGTGGCTCAGCCTGGGCCTGCGTCCGTCTTTCTATGCCTGAACTGTTTTGCTGAGAGAGAAGGAGAGGGGGCCTGGAGATGGGTATGGAGTCTGGGGATGCATGCCACTCTTTGTTGGGCATCGGGATTCAGCTGGACGCTGCCTCTCCCACAGGCTGTCAGATCTTGATTTTATAGGATGGCCTAGGATGAAGGCTGTGTAGCGTACTGGGTGACCCAGCCGCATATAAGTGACCCAGGCGGTGCATTTGGCAGGTAGATCTCAGGTTCATTCTTGAGCCACCCAGCTGCAAGCTAGAGGAGCCCATCACAAGTAGAGGGAGATGAGCCACTTTACCGATGCAAGCTAGAGGCCTTGGAGGAGTTACAGTGACTCTGTGTGGAGGCAGAAGAGACGGTGGTGACTGTGGCGGATGCCCTTCACTGGCTCCATTCATTGGAGGTCTGCAACACATCAGCAAGAACTTGTGCTCAATATCTGCAACCCATTAGCGGCTCAGGTTCTGTCTTTTACTGGTCAGTATAGGTTCTTTCTCTGTGTGTGTCTGTGTGTGTGTGTGTGTGTGTGTGTGTGTGTGTGCGCGCGCGCGTGTGTGTAAGCGAGTGTGCACGAGAGAGAGAGAGAGAGAGAGAGAGAGAGAGAGAGAGAGAGAGAGAGAGAGAGAGGAGAGGAGAGGAGAGGAGAGGAGAGGAGACTTGACATTTGGTCTTTTGGTAACCAAGGTCTCTGATTCAATATCTGGGGTCCATTGTCGGTGGTGGGAAGATTAAGGTGGAGAAGCGACTGGTATTACTTGGTGTTGCCCTTCTTCCTCTTCTTCTTCTGATTCTTATTCTTCTTCTTATTCTAATTCTCTTTCTGATTCTTTTAATTCTCACTTTGGTTCTTACTCTGATTCTCATTTCTACTTCTGATTCTGATTCTTATTCTGATTCTCTGATTGTTTCTCAGATTCTAACTCTGTTTCTCATTCCCCTTTTTCTCCTTCTTCTTCTTCTTCTTCTTTTTCTCCTTCTTCTTCTTCTTCTTCTTCTTCTTCTTCTTCTTCTTCTTCTTTATACGTTTGTACAAACCTTCGCCCAGAAGATGTACCGGCAGAGTGAACCATAAGACAGCTATGTATCACCCGCGGTCATGACTGCGGGCCTTTTTACCGCATGCGGTCGGAATCCCGACCTTGCGGGGCGACCACCCGTGACCGAGTGCGGGCAAGAACCCCCGACAATTTCTTCAGGGCCTAAACATGGGCAAAGAACAAAATAAAAAACATGGGCATGTAGATAAAAACAAACTTACAGGCCTGTGATTTTTATTTTTTTTTTGCAACATCTTAGGGAAGGGGGAAAAAATAAATAAAGAACATCGAAATTAAAAATAAAAATTAAAAATTAAATAAAACCACTGATGAAAATTTTGTATTATAATTATTTGTTGTTTGTTGGGCCGGTGGAAAAACACTGGCCCACACACACACACACGCACACACACACGATCAATCAATCAATCAACGAACCAATCGCAATCAATCAATCAATCTGATTGATTGATTGATTGATTGTGTGTGTGTGTGTGTGTGTGTGTGTGGGTGTGTGTGTGTGTGTGTGTGTGTGTGTGTTTGGCGAGCCGCATTTATAAGACACAACATAAATAATGCCAATAACACAGGCATAACAGCATCGAACAAATCACACCCTGATCCAAGCGAATACTCCGTTCGACTGGGTATGCACGACCTCACTGACTTCCCTAAAAAGACACAACGACTGGAGCCCTAGGGCACCAAGCCTTAAGCTGAAACAAATAATACGCAGCAGCTAGGGGAAGGCAGAAAAATACAGCGAGGAAAAAGGCATGCGTGATCAACACAAGGCGAAGGCTGGAGGGCAAGGGGGAGGTGGGTGGGCAGACGGACAACATGCCACAAAGCAACCAACACAAGGCGGCAAAGCATATATGCTGGAGGGCATGGGGGAGGCGGGTGGGCAGCCAAACGACACAAAACAACAAAGCACACTGGGTAAAAGGCATGGGGTAGACAAATGGGCAAGTAAACACCGTAAGGCAGCGAGGGAAACAACAGCAAGACAAACAACGCCAATGCAAAAACAACACCTGAAAAAAAACAAGTATAAACAAGGCAAAGACTGAAAAAAATAAATAAATAAATAAAATAAACAGACGATGAAAGATTGTTTCGTCGGAGTTGCACCGACTCATCAGGAGGCTGAACCCTCGATAATCTGTGGAATCCCCGTATTTGATGGTTTGGGTCATGAACCCTTTGACCCGTGTTGAAGGCAGACTGTCCCCAAGAGGAACATAGCAGCGGGCAGCAGCCCTGTGAAGCACCAGGCATTACAGTAGAGACAACACGGCTGCACAACGCCAAAAACGACTGCAAGGAACGACACGGCACGCCGAACTCACAGCAGGGCACCCAAGCAGTGAAGCACCAGGCAACACTACCAAGACAACCACACTGCAAGGGACGAGAGGGCAAGCGGACAAGCCGCAGAGCGACCATGCTGAGGGGCACAAGGCAACCCCAACACGACAACCGAACTACAGGGCGTGCAAGCAACGGACCCGGAAGGCACGACCAGCAGACGGGCGGTAAGGCAGCGAAGCAGCGAAGCGCAAGGCAACACCACAACCCGGCCACACCACACAGCGAAGACAGCAGCATGCCAAGAACGACCTGCGAGGCAAGCGGAACGGGCAGCAAGGCAGTGGTGGAGCGCAGACGGGGTCGTCCACACATCCAACACGGAGCAAAGCAGCACATCACCTACTCACATCACGGGTGAACCCCACAGACTGTTGGTTCCCACCACCCAGGGAGACACTCTGACGAGCATACGTCATCACCTATACGCAACACAGACATCCCGAACCGAGCGGCCCCCCTAAGAGTACAGTTGGCACTCCAAACGAGGAACCACCGACTGTTTGCACTGCCTAAGGGTGCTCAGTCGGGCACACAAAAAAAACTTAGAAAAAATCAGAAAGAGGACAAACAACAGAGACAAACGAAAAACTGATTGTGTGTGTGTGTGTGTGTGTGTGTGTGTGTGTGTGTGTGTGTGTGTGTGTGTGCGCGTGTKTGTGTGCGGGCGTGTGTGTGTGCCCGTGTGTGTGTGTGTGCACGTGTGTACTTGTGCTCGTGCACGTGTGTGTGTGTGTGTGTCGGGGGGAGGGTTGGGAGGACCTCCCCCACCAATTAATCAATCAATCAATCAATCGACCAATCAATCAATCAATCAATCAATCAATAAACCAATCAATCAATCAATCAATCAATCAATCAATCAATCTATCAATATATTTTTTTATTTTTTATTTTTTTTTCCACACACCAAAAACGACCCCCCCAAATTATTTTTTTTTAAACTTTTTTGTCACAAGGGGGTAGGGTCAGGGTTCCGGAAAATCTGCAACCCCGACCCCCAACCCCCTCTCCCCTCGGTGGCTGTGGGCCGCGGCAGACCGCGGTCGCCGCAGTCATGACCGTGGCCGCGGGTGTTTCTAGTAAGACAACGAAAGTTGTTGAGTTGATAACCAAGGAGCTGGCTATCAAGGAGAGATATCAAAGGTTCTGCCAGGACACCATTCGACTCACCACTTTTTCCTCCAATAAGGAGTCTTGAAATGCTAAACTGTCTGATAATGAAACCTACACTCCCAAAAACTTGTCAGAAGTATCTGCCGGTACATTCTTCAAGCCCCAGTTCACTTGCAAATTAAATGACTCAGGCAAAAAGTAAACAGACTTATTCCAGTTTATGGGAGACTCATATAGATCACAATAGTTATTCAACACTTTCCTTACTTGGATGAGGTTAGAGCGAGAGTTCATCATCCCAACGTTAGATCATCAGCTCAGGCCCCCACTTTCCATTGTAGTTGATTTATGAGGGAGAGGCCTGTGATAGAGTTATTAGATCTCACATTATCCAGTAGCATCTCCATGTGCACAACAAAAGGCAAGGGGGTCAAAGGACAACACTGTCGCAGTGAGCGTGTGAGGGAGATCATGTTTTTTAAAGTCGTAGAGACAAACGCCCAGCCTACACGATCGTAGGCTTTCTCCATATCTAATCAAAGTAATGTCACATTCTGGTTTTTCTTTGAAATGATCTCCAAGGCTTGCAGCGTACATGCTATGTTGTCCACAATAGATCAATGTTTGACAAAAGCTCCTTGATCCTTCCCAGTCAGAGATAGGTCTATAGCAAACCAGAGAACCAATACTTTCGCTAATAGTGTATATGA